TCAAATAGAGCTTTTTGAATCAAATGAAACTCAAATGCATTCATCAAAGCTAATTGAATCGAATGAAAGTCAAACACATTCAAACAAACCTAATTGAATCAAATGAAATTCAAACACATTCAAACAAAGCTTTTTAAATCAAATGAAAGTCAATAACATTAAAATTCAAATAAAGCTTTTTGAATCAAATTAAAGTCTAATGCATTCTACAAAGCTAATTGAATTAAATGAAAGTCAAGCACAATTAAACAAAGCTATATAAATAAAATGAAAGTCTAACACACTCAAACAAAGCTTTTTGAATCAAATGAAAGTCAAAACATTCAACAAAGCTAATTGAATCAAATGAAAGTTAAACACATTCAAACAAAGTTAATTGAATCAAATGAAAGTCAAACAAATTCAAACAAAGCTTTTTGAATCAAATGATAGTCAAATGCATTCTATAAAGCTAATTGAATCAAATAAAAGTCAAACACATTCAAGCAAAGCTAATTTAATGAAAGTTTAATAGATTCAGCAAAGCTAATTTAATGAAATAAAAGTAAAATGCGTTCTACAAAGCTAATTGAATTAAATGAAAGTCAAACACATTCAAGCAAAGGTAATTGAATCAAATGATAGTCAAACACATTCAAACAAAACTATTTGAATCAAATGATAGTCAAATGCATTCAATAAAGCTAATTGAATCAAATGAAAGTCAAACACAGTCAACCAAAGCTTTTTAATTCAAATTAAAGTCTAATGCATTCAACAAAGCTAATTTAATCAAATGAAAGTCAAACACATTTGAATCAAATGAAAGTCAAACACATTCAAACAAAGCTTTTTGAATCAAATTAAATTCTAATGCATTAAACAAAGCTAATTGAATCAAATGAAAGTCAAACACATTCTAACAAAGCTAATTGAATCAAATGAAAGGTAAACACATTCAAACAAACCTAATTTTGTCAAATGAAAGTCAAACACATTCAAATAGAGCTTTTTGAATCAAATGAAACTCAAATGCATTCATCAAAGCTAATTGAATCGAATGAAAGTCAAAAACATTCAAACAAACCTAATTGAATCAAATGAAAGTCAATTACATTCAAACAAAGCTTTTTGAATCAAATGAAAGTCAAATGAATTCATTCAAGCTAATTGAATCAAATGAAAGTCAAACACATTCAAATAAATCCTTATTGAATCCAATTAAAGTTTAATGCATTCTACAAAGCTAAATGAATCAAACGAAAGTCAAACACAATTAAACAAAGCTATTTAAATCAAATGAAAGTCAAACACATTCAAATAAAGCTTTTCGAATCAAATGAAAGTCAAATGCATTCTATAAAACTAATTGAGTCAAATGGAAGTCAAACACATTCTCATTCAAAGCTTTCTGAATTAAATGAAAGTCAAATGCATTCAACAAAGCTAATTGAATCAAATGAACGTTAAATGCATTCTACAAAGATAAACGAATCAAATGGAAGTCAAACACATTCAAACAAAGCTAATTGAATCAAATGAAAGTCAAACAAATTCAAACAAAGCTTTTTGAATCAAATTAAAGTCAAACACATTCAAACAAAGCTTATTAAATCAAATGAAAGTCAAACATTTTCAAACAAAGCGTTTTAAATCAAATGAAAGTCAAATGCATTCAACAAAGCTAATTTAATCAAATGAAAGTCATATGCATTCTACAAAGCTAATTGAATCAAATGAAAGTTAAACACATTCAAGCAAAGCTAATTGAATTAAATGAAAGTCAAACACATTCAAACAAATCTTTTTGAATCAAATAAAAGTCAAATGCATTCAATAAAGCTAATTGAATCAAATGAAAGTCAAACACGGTCAACCAAAGCTTTTTGATTCAAATTAAAGTCTAATAAATTCAACAAAGCTAATTTAATCAAATAAAAGTCAATTGCATTCTACAAAGCTAATTGAATCTAATGAAAGTTTCGACCAATAGCATGCTGTAATGTTCTCTACAAAATTATCTCGAAAATGTTGTGCTCTAGGATGAAAGAGGTGTTACCTGTGCTAATTGATGAGTCCCAAGGTGCTTTTATTGTTGGTAGGTCGATTTTAGACAATGTGCTTATTTGTCAAGACATTCTTAAAGATTATAATAATAAAAGGAAGTCTCCTAGGTGTATTGTGAAGGTTGATCTTCGAAAAGCCTATGATTCAGTTTACTGGAGCTTTATTGAGGATATGCTAGGTTGTTTTGGTTTCCCTACTCAGCTTGTTCACTGGATTATGGAATGTGTGACCTCTCCCTCTTATTCCATCTTTCTAAATGGGGGTATGCATGGTTTCTTTCCGGGTAAGAGAGGTGTGAGACAGGGAGATCCCATGTCTCCTCTTCTCTTTGTGATTGTAATGGAGTATTTAACCAGGCTGCTAAGGAAGGTAGGGCACAAGAAGGGTTTCAAGTTTCACTATAGGTGCAAACAGTTGAAACTTAATCATCTGGTGTTTGCTGATGATTTAATGCTCTTTGCTTATGGGGATAAAAAATCAGTGAGCTATCTTACAAGAGCTCTGAAAATGTTTGAAAAGGTCTCGGGGTTGCTAGCTAACTCTGATAAGACTGCCATCTATTTTGGTAATGTTCATCCTGATATTAAGAAGGAGATTTTACATCACTCGGGGTTTGTGGAAGGCTGTATGCCTTTTAAATACTTGGGTATACCTTTGAATAGCAGATACATGAAGGTTAGTGATTTTGATGGGTTAATTGACAGTATGCTGGCTAGGATGACTAGGTGGTCCAGTAGGAACCTTTCTTATGCTGCAAAAGTGTGCTCATAAATTCTGTTCTTATGAGCCTACACACCTACTGGGCACAATGTATTCTGTTTCCCAAGATAGTCATTAACAAGATAAATCAGCTATGCAGGGCATTCTTATGGTGTGGGTCAGCTTCATTGTCTAAATGCCCTCCTGTTGCTTGGAGTTGGATTTGTCAAGCTAAGAAGACTGGTGGTATGGGGATCAGAGATTGTGAGCTGTGGAATAAGGCTGCCCTAGGCAAGTTTGTTTGGAAGGTGGCTCAGAAACAAGACTCATTATGGGTTAAATGGATCCACAATGTCTACTTGAAAGAGACTAATTGGTGGTCCTATGTCCCCAAGAAAGCTGATGGCTGGGCTTGGAAGAGGATCTGCTCTGTTAAGGATGAGTTAAAGGATGGTTTTGACTCTGAACACTGGAAAGAGGGGAAGTACTCTATCTCAGATGGATATGCCTGGTTACAGAGAGGTTCACATACTATAGATTGGGATAGCTGGATCTGGAATCATTACAATGTTCCTAGACATTCTATTATAGCTTGGATGGCTATTTTGGACAGACTGAGAACAAGAGATAAATTACTGAGAATAGGTGTTAGTGACTCTGCTACTTCCTATCTTTGTGGAGATCAGAGGGAAGATCATAGTCACCTATTTTTCAACTGTCCTTACAGCAGAAGATGTATGAATATTATCTGTCATTTGTTGCAGATTTCTAAAAAACATGTTGATATTAACAGCACCTGGAAATGTTGGAAAAAATTGTTTAAAGACCCTATTAAGAGAAAGGTGGGCTTTGCTGTCCTTACTGGTTTGGTGTACTACCTCTGGTATGCACGGAATCACACCTTCTGGAATGCTGCTGTTCCTCATCCGAGAAGATTATGCACTAAAATGTGCACAGAGATTGTTGACAGAATTCAGCAAAATATTGGTAGTAAGTGGAAAAAACAGCATTGTAAATGGCTGTTTATGCTTAGAAGTTGTATTCCTCGATAGGCCCTTTTGTTTTGGGCCTTTTAGCTTTGTTTTTTTTTTAGTTTGTCTTGGTTTGTTTGCTTTGTGCTAGAACTTATGGGCTGTTGTGCCTTCCAACTTTGTGCCTAGCCCATCCTAGCTTTGAGGCACCCTTCCTAGAAGGTGGTCTCTCCTAGGTCTGGGGTTGTACTTGAGGGCTTGTCCCTCGTCTTTTGGTATTAATAATTTTCTCACCTTTTCAAAAAAAAAAAAAAAAAAAGAATCTAATGAAAGTCAAACACAATTAAACAAAGCTATTTAAATCAAATGAAAGTCAAACATTTTCAAACAAAGCTTTTTGAATTAAATGAAAGTGAAATGCATTCAACAAAGCTAATTGAATCAAATGAAAGTCAAACACATTCAAACAAAGCTTTTCAAATCAAATGAAAGTCAAATGCATTCTACAAAGCTAATTGAATCAAATGAAAGTCAAACACATTCAAGCAAACACTAGGCAAAAAACCCCAATCCCCACCGGTTCAAACCACTCATTCCCCACCGGTTTTGAACCGTTCTTGATTTGGGGGGTGCTAAATCCCCAAAGATTTCCCACCGGTTCAAAACCGGTGGCAAAAACCACTTTTCCCACCGGTTTTGGAGTGAACCGGTGGCAAAAACATGTGATTTATCTTATAGATGGAGGACTTTTCCCACCGGTTTTCAAGTGAACCGGTGGCAAAACTATAACATTTCCCACTGATTTTCACACTGACCCGGTGGCAAAAATGCCCCAAAAAATTAATTTTTTTTTTTTTTTGCATTTTTTTCACTTAAATTGTACCAAATACTTGTATATAATCATAATATACATAAAACACATATATTTGCCTCAATAACTTGTAATATTACACTTTAAAAAACTAAAAAAAAATGGACATATAAACACTAACATATATATTTTTGGACATATAAACATTAACATATGCTGTCTGACAGTATACAAAAACTAATAGAACTCAGGACTTCAAGGGTGGCAAGAATGCAAAACTGATGCAGAGTAGAGCACAGTGACATTGGTGGCAATGGTGTTTGTCTTTGTAGTATCAAATGCCATTTCCCCACCCAAGCTGCTGTCCTCATTGCCGATGGCAGCTCACCTAAAACTGGAATAATCAACCCAAGATTGTAATTCAAGTCCTATAGTTCTATTTCACAACAAATTTCAACCCAATTCGGATACTACCCTTCTCTGTACAATATCCAAGCAAATTCAAGAGGTTCCTGTGATGCAACCTTCCTAACAGCTTAACCTGAGAAACAAGAGCATGCAATAAAAGAAGGTGAGATCAAGAATCAATCAGCAAAATAACTACAGCATAAAAAGAGACAGCAACTTGTCTACCACACAGGACATCTAAGGATGAACCTTGGTATAGATTATATTGCCGCTAAGAAGCTGCACTGATTAAAATATGACATTACCTCTGTGTCAAATTCTCGCTCCCCTTGCTTTGATATCAATTGCCAGCACCTTCACAGCAACTATTTCACCAGTTGACATCTGAGCTTTGTACACAGGACCATATGCACCCTGGCCAACCAATGTTGTGAAATTCTGAGTCGCCTTCTGCAAATCCCTACAAAAGAAGTAGCCAGCTTATACTCTTATAGTCATCAAGTAAAGTGCAATCAGAGTTCTGTTCATATCAGTAGTTTCACCATGATTTGAATCTACAAGAAATTACTCTCCAACAAGGATAGATTAACAAAGAGGGTGGAGAAAGAGAGCACTTGAGATACTGAGACCAAAAATCATATTAAGATATAAATTATACTTGAATTATACATTCTTAGCAAAGCAATGACACCAGCCAAACACAATAATATGACATTATAAGCTGTAATGAGGTCTACTACGACAATTATTTATTACCATAAGAAAGCAATTAATACCTCCTTTTACGATTCTCACGTAAATTACAAAGAATCAAAGCAGCAGCAGCATATATGTAATAAAATCTAACACCAAGATTCAAGCATCAAGTTATGAAACATAATTGATTTGTTAGCAACATTTACAAAATCCATTGATCAATCTATAAAAATGGCACTAATCGGACTGATAAGATTTCTCATCTTCACTACCCAATTCGGTTTTGTCCCTATGATCACATAAAGAGGATTGCCAATTCCTTATTTTTAATGTCTCAACGGAATAATTTTAACATTGTCACTAAAAACTTAAGTAAATTTCGGAAAGCAAACCTGTAAGCAAACTCAAGTATACCAGATGCAGAAACAACATTACTTCTCTTAAAGCCGTCAAGCCACAAAGACATCCCACTGACACTTTTTCTGTATCGTCTTGGAGATTTAGGGCCAAGGGTAACACTCATTCCATAAAACAAATTAACATTAAAATAGTTCATCCAAACAACTTATTTTTTTTTTTTTTTTTTACCAAATGATCCATTTACACAGAGCAATTACAACTTACAAACACCGAAGCATGGCAACAGTTTAAAGGTTTTTCGACTTTCCATGGAGCCGAATTATCAAATGTACTCAACATAATTCCGTACTTCCTTTGTGTATTCGTACAATAGTTGTATAAAAATAGATAAGCAAGCTAAGTAGTTGACCTGAGCAGAAGATATGGCATAAGCATTGAGCTCACTGTCAATGTAGTAGTAGCTAACACACAAATCATCTCCCTGATAACATCATCAACAAAACATATCACAACACTTATACGATTGTACCACAAATCCACAATGTGCATTCCGTAATCCGGTCATCATTTCGATTTATATCATTGCTCTTTATGTCTCTCTAAACACCGAAAAATAAGAAACCTGCACATCCTTAACCTCCCCACTAACAACATCCTTCACCTTCAACCCTCCCAAAACCCTATTCTCCTGTCTATCTCATGACTGCGTTTCAGCCCAACAACCACTCCCCAACCCAGCCCCGACAACCACCCCCTCCCCTGTACCACCACCAAAACCACCCTCCTTCCAGAGCCACAAAAGCGCAATAGACCCCCCGCCCCAGCCCCACCAACGAAACCGCCCAAAACTTGAATTCCTTAACCCGAAACCACCCTAACTCCCATCCCTTTCCCCACCAGAAACCCCCACCCCTTTCCCTGACCCGAAACTGCCGTAGACTCGAAACTCTACCCCTGAAACCTTTCCCCCACCCCCAGAATTTGTGAATTTGTGTTTTTCCTATAAAATAAAATAAATAAACTAAAATTCACAAATTAGCAACCAAAATTGACTCAATTATCAAACTAGACTCCAAAAATTACGTTAAATTCTTCGACTTTGTATAACCAATAGTTCAATTTTCCAACTTCGAATAACCCTAAATTGAGTATATACTAACAATTAAATACATGATTAACACTAGATTGTCAAAATTAATATTAGATGATTAAAGAAAAAGAAGCATCTAACCTTAGAGACTGCTTCAATGGAGGAGAGAAAGCTCATAAGCCCCTTCAATGGAGAATTTCGAGTACGCTTAAATGGAGGAGAGAGAGAGGAAAGAGTACAACGAGAAACGCTTAAATGGACGAGGGAGAGAGGAAGGAGTACGACGAGAAAGATATGAAGGAGTACAGAGAGAGGAAAGAGTACAGAGAGGTTCGTTTTAATGGAGGAGAGGGAGAGGAGAGAGAGGTAGCGCAGACGAGAGAGGAGGAAAGATCAAGGAATTGAAGGAGAAAGAAAGAAGAATATAAGCGGTTTTTTTAATTTCATAACACTTTTCCCACCGGTTTTGTTAGAACCGGTGCGAGAAACATACTTTTCCCACCGGTTTGGTTAGAACCAATGGCAAATCCATTTTCCCTCTTTTTTTTTTTTATAAAACAAAACTTTTCCCACCGGTTTTCAAGAACCGGTGGCAAAAGGGGGATGCCTTTTTCAATTTTTCTACTAGTGAAAGCTAAATGAATCAAATGAAAGTCAAACACATTCAAACAAATCTTTTTGAATCAAATAAAAGTCAAATGCATTCAATAAAGCTAATTCAATGAAATGAAAGTCAAACACAGTCAACCAAAGCTTTTTGATTGAAATTAAAGTCTAATACATTCAACAAAGCTAATTTAATTAAATAAAAGTCAATTGCATTCTACAAAGCTAATTGAATCTAATGAAAGTCATACACATTCAAACAAAGCTAATTGAATCAAATGAAACTCAAACACATTCAAACAAAGCTTTTCGAATCAAATGAAAGTCAAATGCATTCTACAAAGCTAATTGAATAATATGAAAGTAAAACACATTCAAGCAAAGCTAATTAAATCAAATGAAAGTCAAACACATTCAAACAAATCTTTCAAAATCAAATAAAAGTCAAATGCATTCTACAAAGCGAATTGAATAATATGAAAGTCAAACACATTCAAGCAAAGCTAATTGAATCAAATGAAAGTCAAACACATTCAAATAAATCTTTCAAAATCAAATAAAAGTCAAATGCATTCAATAAAGCTAATTGAATCTAATGAAAGTCAAACACATTCAAACAAAGTTAATTGAATCAAATGAAAGTAAAATGCATTCAACAAAGGTAATTGAAACAAATGAAAGTCAAACACATTCAAACAAACCTAATTGAGTCAAATGAAAGTCAAACACATTCAAACAGAGCTTTTTGAATCAAATGAAAGTCAAATGAATTCATTCAAGCTAATTGAATCATATGAAAGTTAAACACATTCAAATAAAGCTTTTTGCATCAAATTAAAGTCTAATGCATTCTACAAAGCTAATTGAATCAAATGAATGTTAAATGCATTCTACAAAGCTAAACGAATCAAATGGAAGTCAAACACATTCAAACAAAGCTAATTGAATCAAATGAAAGTCAAACAAATTCAAACAAAGCTTTTTGAATCAAATTAAAGTCAAACACATTCAAACAAAGCTTATTAAATGAAATGAAAGTCAAACACTTTCAAACAAAGCGTTTTAAATCAAATGAAAGTCAATTGCATTCAACAAAGCTAATTTAATCAAATGAAAGTCATATGCATTCTACAAAGCTAATTGAATCAAATGAAAGTTAAACACATTCAAGGAAAGCTAATTGAATTAAATGAAAGTCAAACACATTCAAACAAATCTTTTTGAATCAAATAAAAGTTAAATGCATTCAAAAAAAGCTGATTGAATCAAATGAAAGTCAAACACATTCAAACAAAGCTTTTTGAATCAAATTAAAGTCTAATGCATTAAACAACGGTAATTGAAACAAATGAAAGTCAAACACATTCGAACAAACCTAATTGAGTCAAATGAAAGTCAAACACATTCAAACAGAGCTTTTTGAATCAAATGAAAGTCAAATGAATTCATTCAAGCCAATTGAATCATATGAAAGTCAAACACATTCAAATAAAGCTTTTTGCATCAAATTAAAGTCTAATGCATTCTACAAAGCTAATTGAATCAAATGAATGTTAAATGCATTCTACAAAGCTAAACGAATCAAATGGAAGTCAAACACATTCAAACAAAGCTAATTGAATCAAATGAAAGTCAAACGAATTCAAACAAAGCTTTTTGAATCAAATTAAAGTCAAACACATTCAAAGAAAGCTTATTAAATGAAATGAAAGTCAAACACTTTCAAACAAAGCGTTTTAAATCAAATGAAAGTCAAATGCATTCAACAAAGATAATTTAATCAAATGAAAGTCATATGCATTCTACAAAGCTAATTGAATCAAATGAAAGTTAAAGACATTCAAGGAAAGCTAATTGAATTAAATAAAAGTCAAACACATTTAAACAAATCTTTTTGAATCAAATAAAAGTTAAATGCATTCAAAAAAAGCTGATTGTATCAAATGAAAGTCAAACACATTCAAACAAAGGTTTTTGAATCAAATTAAAGTCTAATGCATTAAACAACGGTAATTGATGTGTAAACAAGATGAGAAACCTTGTTACAACAATGATAAGTTAAAAGATTCAAAAGATTTTAAGATTCAATTATCAAGTGATCAGTTTAGTTATGGGAACTCTCACCCTAAGCTAAGGATATAGCAAAGAGGAACTCTCACTCGTTTGCTTGGGATAGTCTAGATGAGGGAACTCTCACCAAATCATAAACTATAAGTCCTAATCTTGGGAACTCTCACCAAAACTAACACTCTTCAAATTTGGATACTCAAATTTGGAAAACAAAGTGAACTAAACTCAAGTCACTTCAAATAACAAACACACGTTTTAGGCAAATAATCTTGGATCATTTTCATTCATTCAAAGTATGCTATTTATAGCATCAATACAACCTTTTCACTTGCCTACTTTAATTAACAAAATGAAATAACCAAAAGGAAATTAACTAAGGAAAAGAGTGGTTAATACACGTCCCACTTAACCTTATTACAAACATAATTAAACTAATTATAAGACCTAAAGACTAGGCTTGAAACAAGGGAAAATGACCAGCCAAGATAGCATCCAAAGAGCATCTCCAATAACCATAAACACACGCCCAAAACAGCCACTCTTCAAGCTTTGTAACTCCCATTTTAATGCCTTGATTCACGCCTCTTTATTCTTCATAACCCCCAAATAATGAGGTGCAATGTTCAGCCAACAAACTCCATAATTTACGCCCAACAAGTGCCATGAATCACGCCACTTTAATCAGCCCAAGTAACTTACAAACGGCTAGCATGAAACACGCCCAAACCGCCTCCAAATCAGCTTGTAACCGACGCCCTTTAAACATGTATTTGGAGCTTGGAAAACCGTCCCTTGCTAGATACCTTCTACAAGGTTAATTACACTAAGTGAAGTTCAACCCCTTGTAAAAACATTCGAACCAAAACCGTGCAAAGGATTAAGGAATGATTTGGACATAAACAAGTCCTTTGCATTGCCTTGAATTTGGACCTCACCGTGACCACTTGGACCATTGCAAACATTATAACTTTGACCATATTGGTCATCCTCCTCTTCTTCAAAAGGAATTGCCCTCAATTCGTCATCATCAAAGTATGGAGCAAGGTCCCCAACGTTGAATGTGCTTGAGACACCAAATTGGCCCCCCAAATCAACCTTGTATGCATTGTCATTGATCTTTTCCACGATTTCAAATGGTCCTTCGGCTCTTGGCATAAGCTTGTTCTTTCTTTTGCTAGGAAACCTCTCTTTTCTCATGTAAATCCACACTAAGTCACCAACTTCAAATTGTTTCACGTTTTTCACCCTCTTGTTGGCTTGTTTCTTGTAGACTTCATTTGCTTTCTCAATGTTCTTCCGAACTTCCTTGTGGACCTTCAAAATGAACTCGGCTTGTTCCTTAGCTCCACCATGAACGAACTTGTCTTGTGGCAAAGCTATGAGATCAATAGGAACATAAGGATTGACACCATAGACCACTTCAAAAGGAGAGTACT